ATTAGTGAGATGATCTATGCCAATCTCGCATTGCATCAAAATCACTCTCTCAATTTTCTCCGTTCATTTGACTACCAATCTCTTCGATGATAATCATCCCTCATTTTTTATACTAAGTTTCCTCCAATGAATCATTTATTCTTCTATGTAGTTGCGATAGACATCATGTATGCAAATGTCAGCATTTTAAGTTTACTAGGTTTTATACACGTGCAATGCATATGGTTAAATAGCATGATTAAGTATTTTTGGCTTATTTTCTAACTAAACCTCAGTTCCACTTTAATAGTTTGTGCTACTTTTATCTCTAAACTTTAATATTGTAATTATTTATTTTCTTTAATGTTTGTTTAAATGGGCTACACCCAATTTAAATTTTCATGTTGATATTTCAATTGATAGAAAATAAATATAATTTGAAGTTAATTTGAATTATCATATTATTTTGACTCACATGAAACAAGCTTTACTGGAGAAAGTACAGTGTTGTAAAATTTAAAAAATATTAAAATAATATTATACAAGGAATGTGAATATTTAAAACCAATAAGGCAAATTGATTGGTTAACAGTATGCTAAAACGATATAAAAGAGAATATGAAGTTTGCTCCTAATCATTGATAGATTTCATACAAAATTATAAATTAAAGATTAATGCTAACTCTAGTATACGTTTATATGATAAAAGCATCCACATAAGCATATAAAAGTACTGAAAAAAAGCTCATGATACTCCCTTCTAAAGAATCCTAAATTCACTCAAAAAAATTAAAGTGTTTAAGAAAATATTCAGAAAATATTATCTTTTATTCTTTATGTTTTATTTTTTATTGAGCTAAGATCAATCATTTCTCACATTTATCTTTTTCTTGGGCAATTCTAGAATAGTGTTGTCATTATCTACATCGATTGTGACATCGGGCTAGAGTTGTATTTTTGTGATGTTACCTTTCTTGGGCTCGCTAATCTTTTATCTTGTCGTTTAATTTCACAAAGAAGTTAAATGTATTTTTTATGTTCAACACAAACTTCTTAAAATACAGACTTGTGATTTTTTTCTATTTCAATAAGAATAAATATTAATTACATATATATAAAATTCTTTGTGTTTCTAATTTATTACTTAAATAAGATTAGAAGCTACCTTTTTTTCTACAATAAATTCTTCTGATGCGCATCCAATAAGAATTTTTGTTACGTCAATAATATTACATTTGCTCTATCCCTACGATTTTCCACAAAAATCTAAATAAATACCTGTATTTTTTATTGCCAATTGACTTAGATTATAATATTAATATTTAATTTCTTTAGTACTTGAAGAATAATGTATGAAATTTATGAATACTTACAAATTTTTCTTATATCTTTCATAGAGAATTCTTCTTTAACTGGGATAAAGTTATTAAATTATTCTTCAACATAACTCAGTTAGTGCTTCTTTAATAGATATATCTTATGTTAATGTCAATTCAAATGATTCATGAACGTTTTCTGAATTTTAAATTTATTTCCGTCACTTTCCCATTTGCAATGAAAATAGCTTGATTCTTTTAAAGGATATCTCTGAACATTCTGATAGTTTCTCTGTTGGAATATCAAATTAAAATGTTAAAATAAATGAGGTTAATAGCACGAGTTTTATAAGTGCAAGGGTTATAAGTTTAGAAGGGGAAGAGACATAGGTTATGGAAGAATAAGAGTAACTTACTCATTTATGATATTTATCATTATGGCATTAAAATAGGAGTTTAATTTGTGACTATTGGTATGCCTAGACGTTTTTGTTTTGAAGCCTATATAAAGGGCTATTGTAATCCTTGTTTGATATGAAGAAAGAAAATTGAAGAAATATAAGTGAGTTCTTTGTCTTCATTTGAGAGAGTTCTAAGTTCGTAAACTTAAGAGTCATCAGTCGTATCAGAGCCACTTGATCTAATTTTCCCATTCTCTCTTCTTTTCATGGCTATCACAAATAATCTTGTCAATCCTCAAGTGCCCAAATTATTGAAAGATAACTATAAGAGTTGGTCAATCCAAATGAGAGCCTTATTTGATTCTCAAGATTTGTGGGAGCTAATCATTGATGGGTTTACGGAACCTACATCAAAAGTAGAAGCCACCTATACTGCCGAAGAGAAGAAGGCTCTCAGAGAGCAAAGAAAGAAGGATAGCAAGGCTCGTTTTCTACTCTATCAAGGGTTGGACGAGTCTACCTTTGAGAGGGTTTCCGAAGCAACGACGAGCAAGGAAGCATGGGAAATCCTTACGACCATCTACAAAGGTGTCGAGCGGGTGAAGCGAATTCGCCTCCAAACTTTGAGGGGCGATCTTGAAGCCGCTCAAATGAAAGATGAAGAACAAATCTCCGATTATTATTCACGATTACTTCTAATTGTGAATAAAATAAGGAGAAATGGAGAGAAGATGGAGGACATCCGAGTGATGGAGAAGTTGCTCTGATCCCTCACATCAAAATTCGAGCACGTGGTGGCAGCAATTGAGGAGTCAAAGAATTTAGAGGAGATCTCAGTAGAGGAGCTCTTGGGATCTCTCCAAGTTCATGAACAACGAATGCAAAAGAAGGCTAGTTCCATAGTTTTGGAACAAGTACTAGAGTCAACATTGACTCTAAGTAATCAAGGCTCACAAGGTAGGGGTCGTGGTCGTGATCGTGGTAGAGGCAGGGGACGTGGTCCCCAACAGCAAACCACTCAAAATCAAGTAGAGACCCAAAGCATTAGAGGACGAGGATGAAGCAATCATGGAAAATCCACACCTGGGCGTGGAAGCAACAAGAATGTTCAGTGCTATAACTGTCACAAGTTTGGGCACTATGCTTTAAATTGTTGGTACAAAACTGAAGACCAAACCAATCTTGCCGAAGCAACAAATGATATGGGTAATAACTCTATGCTTCTTCTTGTTAATGATGATTCAAGTGTTGAGAATGATGCTTGGTACCTTGACTCGGGTGCTAGCAACCACATGTAAGGGAAGAAAGAACTTTTCATGGAACTCGCAGAAGGAGTTCATGGAAGTGTGAGCCTCGGAGATTCTTCAAAACTCCTGGTTGAAGGCAAAGAGAAGATTAAAATCTACCAAAAGGATGGTAAGCCCGAGTATATTTCCGATGTTTACTATATTCCTAACATGAAAAGTAATATTCTTAGCATCGGTCAATTACTCGGAAAGGGATACAAAGTATCTATGGAGAACAACCATCTTTGGTTGAAAAATGTAAATGGATGCCTCATATCTGTGTTAAGATGACAAGGAACCGCATGTTTCCCTTGCATCTAAACATGAAAGTCGACAAATGTTTTTAAGGACTCATGGAGAATGAGTCATGGAGGTGGCATCTTTGCTTCAGCCATCTAAACTTCAGCGGTTTGAAGTTACTGTCTACAGCTGGCATGGTACGAGGTCTACCAACAATTAGTCCACCGAATCATATTTGTGAAGGTTGTATAATTGGCAAGCAACCACGACTTCCTTTTCTCAGTGGAAAATCATGGAGAGCAAAGGCACCATTGCAACTTGTTCATACCGACATCTGCGGACCGATCGATCCCGTCTCTTTAGGAGGTAATAGATATTTTATAACCTTCATTGATGACTTCAGTAGAAAGTTGTGGGTGTACACTCTTAAAGAAAAATCTGTTGTCTTTACTACATTCAAGTGTATTAAAGTTTTAGTTGAAGCAGAGAGCGGCCACAAGCTAAAAATTCTTCAATCTGACTGAGGTGGTGAGTACACCTCAAATCTGTTTTAAGAATATTGCAGGGAGCAAGGTATAAAGAGACAGTTTACTACTACCTACACACCACAGCAAAATGGCATTGCAGAAAGAAAGAACCGGACCATTCTCGACATGACAAGAACCATGCTCAAATAAAATGGATTGCCAAAGCAGTTCTGGACAGAAGCTGTGGTGTGCTCAGCTTATTTTCTCAACCGATGCCCCACAAAGATAGTGAAGAACAAGACACCTCAAGAGGCATGGAGC